CTGTTGCTCTTACAGTCAGAAAATGGTCTGATTTTTTTTTTAACCTGATTCTCCTGGGCAATTTAAGCCCATTACTTTTGTCCACTGAAGAAAGGAAAAATCTTCTCTTGCCTTAAAGAAGTTTTAGCTCCTTAACTGAGGCACCATCTGTAAAATACCTCCTTGATGAAGTTTCTGCAGAGCTTAGGTAAAGCTTCATGATCACTTCGAGTCTCCTGTGTGCCACTAGTAGGTCTTATTTCGACTGCCCAATCCCTGGGCGTGTGGTGGAGTATTCACCTAAACAGGGAACTACAACAAAAGAGTAAAAATAATTAAATCCATCCTTCATTTTCAGAGCAGCTTCCTGTGTTTTGGGGTGCTGCTGCTTCAGGAGAAGGTCTGTGGGCTTCATGCAGCGGGACAGGAGTTGGGAATGGGCCTGGAGCAAGACCTGGCCCGGAGCTTTTCCCTGGCAAAGGCCAAATCCGTCTACTGCCGAAAAGTCAGGATTATCCATCACCCTGCCCCCTCGTTTTGCTTTATTTTCTTAATGCGTTTTGTGTGGTTTATAACGCAACGCTTCTCGCGCCAGGCCTGTCTCGAGGGGTTGTTGGGCCTCCCCGGGCTCTTGTGGCAGTATTGCCTCCCAGCAGAGAGGAGCGTCCGAAGCGCCGAGCCAGGAATGCGCCCAGAAAAAACCCCCTTGCCTCGTTCAAACAGCGCATAGGGCAACAACCCGAGCCCTGCTAGCGAGAAAGGGCTTTTATTGGGCAATAACGCAGCAAGTATGGACATAAAAATTCTTCTGTGGTAATCTAATCCACTTTTATAGATGCGTTGTTGGATTATTCATTCTCCCAAGTTTATAAAGATGATATTCTGTTATCAGAGATCTGAATTTGGGTTGCGCTGCAAGGACGGGTTTCTTTTTTGCTGTCGCATCTTTTTCCCCTTCTTTCTTGGCTAAATGGTGCCCCCCAGAAGGGGCTTCTGTCCAAAACCGTCCGCAGGTTCCAGCTTGGTTTTGTCCCCGCTTGCAGGTCACTTTTGCACCGGGTGCTGAGGGGAGCCCGAAAGTCTTTAACAAGGGGATAATCTGCGCCGAAAACACTGCAGCTGGGCAGGAACCACATCTTCCCTTCTCCTTTCCTCTTTCCTGCCACCCCTGTGCTCTCCCTGAGTGTCGTTCTGGGGCTTTGACCATCCTCCGAGGTGCATTTTGCCACCAAATCCACCCGAACGCTGATGCTCTCCGCTTATTTGCCATTTTACGCCACTTTCTCCTCCATCTTTTCCATCGCCCTCCCTGCCCTCCTTGCCGTGGCCTTTGGCTCATGCTTCCCCTTCCCGAGGCCGCAGCCTCGCAGGAGGCTCGGGCCTCCCCTCGACTGGGGCTTGCTGTATTTTTAAGTACAGCTTGCCTTATATTTTCTAATTTGTTAATAAAACCGCTGAGGAAAACCAGGCCCAGGACAACTTCATGTGGAGCCGCTGTTGAAAAGCCCCTTCTGGCTGAGCCCAGCCCTTGACAAGTGAATCTGTTTGTCTCGGGCAGTTTTTCCTGCCTAGCGTATGCATGTGGTTTATGGTAATTTTCTGTACACTGTTTTCTCCTTAAGTGCCTTGAAAGATGCCCGGATTTGGCAATGGCAGAAGCCTTGCGGAGGTCAAGGTATTTCCATTTGCAGCTTTGCCTCCACTATGAAACCAGCGTTATCCTGCCCCAAAATGACCCTGTAAAAGTAGTGATGCTTATTCTGGAATGGGTTTATACTATATTCTCTTCAAGAGCTTGATGATAATGCGGTATTGCTTGTAATTTGCTGAATTTTAGCAATTGGGAAGATTTATTGTGGGCTGAAAATACACCTGGGGGGCAACCTCGTCTGTGCAAGGTAGGTGGATCTAAATAGGGAAGCTTAGGTGGGAATGCTCCCTGAGCTATAACGTGAAAAATATTTCTAATTAAAAAAGGGAGGAAAAGGGAGGAAAAAAAGTTGGTACTTGCTCTGCTTGTGACCTAGTTATTATATTGTGGCCCTCTGTTAGAGACAGGTATTGGCCTCGCAGGCTCACCCTGGCCCTTTCCCAGAGAGCTCTTGTGCCACTCCTGCAGTTTCTTCTTTTTTTTCTTTCCCCCCTTTTGCTTTGCTCAGTAGTTAATTTGTTTATTACGAAAGTTAGAATAAGATTAAACAATCTGCTAATGCTTTTATGTAGCCTAATGAGAAGAAAATGTTTCTGGGGGATTAAAACCACTACAGAAGTTTAAAGCGGGGATGGAGGGGGGGCGGAATCGAAGTCCGCAGCGCGCTCAGGAATTTGTTCCACTTGTTAATTGGAAACACAGGCGGCCGCTGGTGTCCCCGCCGTGTCCCCGCACATTGTTCGGCCGCCCTTTCATTTGCTCCCTAGGGACCTCCCTCCTCATCCTCGGCCTCGCAGAGGCTCTCGCTCCGGAGCTCCGGGATGGCGCCTACGGAGGCTCCCACGGAGCATCCGGGCACCTGGAGCGGCGCCGCCCGGGATACGGATCCCGCTGGGGAAGCGGGAAGGGCGGCCGAGCCCTCGCCCTGTGCCCGGGCTCCCTCGTTCCTTGGGCTCTGGCTTTGCCCCATTCCGAGGGAGGGGATTTTGCTTCAGAAGCAGAGCCACAGAGTGGAGCTGCTCCAGTGCCTGCTCCAGCTTTCCTGGAAAGGAGGTTTGTCCCTTTCTTCCTTTTTTTTTTTTTTTTTTTTTTTCCTTCCCTCTTGGCCTTTTGAAAAACCGAAGTGGATTTTTAATGAATGTTGAAATTGTGAAACTCAGTGACACAATCCAAGAACTCTTCAAAGTATGTTCTTTTTTTTTTTTCTTTTATTTTTCAAATGCACTCATCAAACAAAACCAGGGCGATCTGTTCACGGGCACAGAGTTATCAATCCAAGAAATCGTCCCCTTCTCCAGAGTCGCGAGGTCCATGTGCCCAGGCCAGGCCACCGCTCCTCTCACTTCCAAGCAAAGTGTTTTCCTCAGGCTCTAACACAATTTTTTTTTTTTAAATTGGGAAAAACTGAGAAAAAAAGGCATCCTTGTGGATTGCTTGCTATAGCATTTCCCCAATGTCTTGGATTTGCACCCAGGAAAGCAAGTAGCCCAAAGCTGTTTTTTATTTTTCTTTTCCTGACCTGATTGTTGTTTTGGTGTGGTGATTAGTGGAACAAATACAGAGATAAGGTTGCTCTTTGGAGAGGCTCTTTTTTTTTTGGTACATCACAGAGTATCGTGTAGGTTGCTGGTCAGTAAGTGCATAGCACAGTGCTGGGGATGCAGAGGTGGCTGGTATGGGAGCTCCAAGTAGGAAACTCATTGCTGGAAGTGAAGTGGAGAAGAGACAAGGCTCAGGGAGGACACCGAGGAAAATTCCCCTATATCCAGAGCAAGGTACGGGATTTTCCCATGGGTTGCTAGCTAGAAAGTGTGAAGCCTAATGCCTCAACCGTGGGAGTCCTGCGGAGGAGGAAGGAGCTGAAAATGTTTGTTTTCCGCAAACTTTTGCCCACTTCCTGAGTGAGTCTCTTCCCTGCAGCCCAGACCTGTCTGAGGGAAGGAACCGGCCCTTGGTGGGTAAATGCAGGTCACAGCAACCTGCTCCCCTGCAGCCCAACATCGGGTCGAGGGAATCCGCCTCCAGAAAGGGACCTTGGAGCTGCCTTCTCGCGTGCTGGGGTTTTCTTGCTCCTTGTCACCAGCTCCTCCTTTTTTAACACAAAATCAGGCTAATAAAAAGCATGGGAACTCTGTGCCTAGCCATCTGCAAGGGAAATTTGGCCTACAGCATGTCAATTATTGAGATTTGTTGGGCTACTAGACGCTGCTGTAAATGCAAACAGGATTTTTCCTTTTCTTGCCTGCACGCTTATGCGGCGCCCATAATTACTGTTTGCATTTTTCCCTTAAAATTTGTACCCGGATAATAGCACAGCTTCTGTAGCCGGGGTCGGTTGCGGCTGTGTCTTCATCCTGGGATGAGGCTGGAGCGCGGCCGGCATCGCTAGGTGGCACTCCGGGCCCAGCTTTGGGATGTGGCCGTTTGCTAGCGCGGCTCTGCGCCTGCTGCAGCTGGAGGAAGCCCCCAGCATCGTGCTGTGGTCAGGATCCTGCGGTTTGGGGACGTTTACAGCCTTTTCTACCTGTAGTACGAGGGCAGAAGCTGCTTGGTACTGCAGAACGCAGAGTTGGGACCTTCAGAGCCGGCTCCGTGTGCTGTTGGACTGTGTGATGTAGCACTGGGTTATTTTACACTGAAAGGGTTGAAGGTTCTGGCATCTTCATTTCTGTCCATTTTCATTGCAATAGCTCATTTTTTGCCCTTCAGCTTTCAGTCCTGTCTCGATATTTCCTGGGTGACTCTGGAGACTTTTGTGGACTCGGAAGGGGTTCTCCAAAGTGGCTCGTGGGCACAAGCTGCATCAGAAGGTCCCATCGCGCGGGTGCTTCGGGCAGGGAGATGTAAGGTGTCTAGTAGGATTCCTCCAGCCCCGATCCCTCCTGAAGCATTTCTTGGCACTACCACCAAACAGGGCTTGTGTTTTGAGTCCTGTAGCTCATTAAGGGTCTGATGTCCCCACATCTTTCACCTTTGGTTAAAGGCTGTCCCCTTGGAACCTGTGGGACACCTGGCCAGATGGGCTACACAGGTGCCCCGGGTGACAACAGACAGCAAAATGTCCAGAAATCAAACACGGAGTACGAAGACTTTGTTCCAAATGGTTCTGCACTGGTCCAGCCCTGGTGGATCCGTAAGGGAATGCAAAGCTGGGGTTTGGCAGGTGCAAAAAAAAAGAAGGAAGGCTGGAACAGAAACTTGCAAACCTGGCTTTGGTGCCTGGTTATATGCAAGTGAAAAGGAGAGCTCTCCTTTTATGGCAGATTTTCTGGTTGGTTTGTTTTAAATCTCAGGTTCTGGGTATTTCTTGTAAGCAGTGACACTGGCAGATACTAGAATCCTGACCCACACTGGCATCTTCTTCCAGGTCTGTCTATGATGGAGAGGAACACGGTCGTTTCATGGAAAAATTGGAAGCGCGGATCAGAAACCATGATCGGGAGATTGAGAAAATGTGCAACTTCCATTACCAGGGCTTTGTGGATTCCATCACGGAGCTGCTGAAGGTTAGGGGAGAAGCGCAAAAACTGAAGGTAAGAGAACCCAAGTGAATGTCTCCTTTTGTGCAGAGCCCTTCCTTCTCCCTTAAAACAAAACAGCAGCAAAACCCCACTCTCTTCCCAGAGTAATAGGTTACTCATTTGAAGTTTAACAATTATTATGGCAAACTGGAATGCTGTGGTACATGAGAAGCACTAAGATTAACGCCAGGCCTGTTCTGCATTAGGAGACGTGCTTTTCCTGGGGTACCTTATGCTGGTTTCTTAAGCAATAATATGCTGTGTAGTGCAAAGCACATCTGCTGCTCCCGAAGTGCCCGTTCCCGTTCCGGGAACGATGCTCCCTGCAACGGGAACGCTGCCTGGGTCGCACCAGCAAACACCTCTGACCATGATCCCCGGGTACCTGCCCATGTTGGCCAGCCAAACGTCAGGGTTTAAAAAGCAAAGGAGCTTCGGAGCATGGGGCATTCAGAGCGAGAAGGAACGGTGGTTCGGAGCAAATCAGGATGCTTGGAATTGCTAAGTAGGGAAATCAGGATGCTTGGAATTGCTGGGTATGGAAGCGCTGGCTTGTGAACAAAGGCACAGCCTGTTTCTGTGAGCAGCGGCTTCAATTCTGAGTGCCTGAGCCAGAAGGTGAAGCCTGGAGTTAGGGAGGGGTTTTCCAGGTACCCTTTAAGTCTGTGCAGAAAGACCGGAGAAAGGAAGTTTTCCTGTTTCTTTAAAAAATGATTATACTCTGTGGGGTGGAGGAAAAGCCATGTGCAGGACTGGAGTGTAGATAAGCAGTGGGAAGGAAACCAGTTGGCATCCTGGGGAGAAAAGCTGGAGATTGCAGGTTTTCTGATGTGTGGCCTTGCAAGTTAAGCGTGGATGCTGTGCCTTAAAAGCTGAGTGTATTGTCCAGTTTGAGGCCCATTTGAAAATACAGTAGTGACTTAACCCGTGAGCTTTAGAGCCTGGAGACCATCCTCATTTTCCTGCAGCAGCCGAAGCAGAGGATGGGCAGATTTTCCGCCCTGGAACAGGGCTCTCTGCAAGTGTCAACGGCACGTTGCGACCTTGCATAGAAAAAGAAAATACCCCCCACGCTGGGCAGCGGCAAAGCCCGAACGCTTGGACATGGGCCTGGGTTGGGTGGTGCCCAGAAAGGTGCCTGTTGTGCCCAGACAGCAGTGGCAGTGACGATGGGAGGGAATGAAGTCATGGACAAGGGGAAAAGCCTCCGAAAAGCAGGTTTTCTGGAGGAGAATGAAGAGCTGCAGTTTAGTGGTGCTGCCTGTTGCTTTCCCGAGTTAACTCCAGCATTCCTGAGCAGACCCTGCTCTTCCCAGGCTTCCCTGGCCTCAGAAGAATCTGCCTTGCCCTGGCTTTGCCCAAGGAGAGGATTCATCCAGCGGCCGCTTGCAAGACGAGGCCATTGGAAGCACCATGAAAGGAGCCCGTTTTTTCTTTCCCTCTCTTTTTTGTTTTCTCTAAGCTATTGTTTCTAGCCAAGAGCTCCACATTGTTTGTTTGCAAGGGCTTGGTGCTGTTTCCCATTCTACAAACAGCTACTTTGTTGGTGGCGCACTGTGAAGTCCATCTCTGTACCCTCAGGATCTCTCTTGATTTCCATTACTATGCGATCTATAAAACGGCACATGGGAAAAATACACACAGAAGCTTATTTGGGAAATATTGAGTCCTCTTTGTGAGCGTTTCCCGGGAGAATCATCCGTGGGTCCAGTGATGAGTGTGGGTTTTGTTCCAGCTATTCATTCTGCATTTGATCTTGGCCTTTTTCTCTACAGCGCTGCTCTTTGAACGTACGTGCGAGCGAGGATGAAATAAATAACCGCCCTCCGCACCGCGTCTCGAGCGGGCCGGCATCTCCAGCCTCGAGCTTCTAGCTTTGGGGCATCCTTTATGATACCCCCTTGCCAAAATCCCAGCTGCTTTGTTTTACCAATGCACATGCGTCACGGGGGTGCACGTGTCATCCTCACCCGTCCCCGCGGAACACAGTGCCCTAGTACGGAGCGGAGAGGAGAACTATAGTTTAGGTGGTCCCAAATTGAGCTGAAATCTGACCAGAACTCTAGGGTTAAATTTTTTTTTTTCTTTTAAACTTTCTGTCATTCTTGGCCTACTAGGGGCTAGCACAGAGCTGGGAGCTCTTGCTCGGAACGAAGGAATTTCTGCACTCGAAACGTGGTGCTGCTTTCAGGGGCCGCTGGTTGATGCTCTGTGTGCCGAGGAGTCAGGTTGAGTGGAAACCCGTAGGACATGGCCGCAGGAAGGCACCTCCTTCATTTGGGTGAATGTAATCCATCATATTTTATCAAAGCCAAACCTATTTTTGAGGATATTTAATTTTTTTTTAATTAGTTTTGCTAACACACTTCTTATGGGGTTTCGAAGGAAAATCTTGCTGCTTTTGTTTATTTATTTATTTATTCCGTCGCGCATCTTGGATGTATATATTGCATCTTGTTGTGCATCTTGGATGTGCAGTTTTAGCTGCACTAGTTTTTTTCCCACCAATCATGGCCAGAGAAGAGAGATCTTTTTCTTTCTGTGGCAGCCGCCTCCAGTTCAGAGGTTGTTGTCACCTTCTTCCAGGCCTGTCCTCTGTGGGATGAGCAGCCACAACCCATCCAAGAGGGTTGAGCTCTCTAGGCCTCTCTCTCTTATTTTTCCTGCTCGGAAGTCTTTCCAGCTGGTAGGTTTGGGAATATATATAAAAATATATATACATATATTTATTTTTTAAGTGTGGTTTCTGCCTTTGGGAAGGGTGGTTGTCTCCAGGGCCATGGAGGAGCAGGGTGGTTGTACATCCTAGTGTGGTGCTTGTGTTTTTTAGCAGTAGCAGTGTCCGTTTTCCAGTTTGATATCTGTTGATATCCAGTTTGATATCCCTCCTCCGTATTCCGTTTTTGGTGCAGAAGGGAACGCGCTGGCGGCGGGAGCAGCCCCGAGCTTCTCGGCCCCCTGCCTGGGTTTGGCCACTGTCTGCCTGTCCCTCTGGCTGTGGGTCTGTCTTGGGTTATAAAATCTCCCCCCAAAGGCTTCAGGGCCTACACAGAGACTACATAAATAATCTGCTTTCTTTTCCCCCCCAAAATGGAACGGAATGGATGTGGTTCTTAAGAACAAAAGAAAACACCACCTCTTGCCCCCCGAAGTGCTCACTGTGCAAGGGCAGGATATATCCTCACTTCTTGTCTTAGTCGGGATTCATATGTAATTTTAATAGAAGACTAGTGCAGCCTTGGCATTATTTTAGGAGCAGTTTTAAATTACCCTACATGGATTCCTCTTTCCTGGTGGGATTTTCAGGATATAAGAAAATAAAATAATCTTTGGAAGAGATGCTGTGCTCCTGCTCGTAAAATCTCGAGACATCATAGAGGAAATGAGCAGTGTTTGCAGGCGGCAGGCGGCCAGGAGAGCCGGAGCTCCCGCGGGAAGGAGGGGAGCAACGCGAGGCGGCTGCTGCCGCGGATCCCACGGGGGAGAATCCTCTCCTTGCGCCACGGCAAACTCCTGAGCAGCCGGTCTGGGATTGGGAAGAGGAGGATCTTGTGTGCTCCGTATGCGTCCATATGCAATACCATAGATATTAATGTCAATATACTGCACTGTGCACACAATACACAGCTGCTATTAAGGTGTGCTCGGAAGATGCACCTTGAGGCTGGCAGCGCATCCCGCTCTGCTCCGGTGCCGCAGCTGCTCCGTGCACCATCCCTAACCCACAGCTCAGACGAGAGCGCCGCGTTCCTAGAAATGGCATTCCTTAGCTTGGAATACCTGCCGTCGGGAATCACGGCTGCATTGGTGGGTGCTGGACAGACCTGCTGCCACAGTTGTCCTTGCACTCGCTGTCAAAATACTCTGTGTGTTAGAGCCAACCTGAGGCCTAGAGCTTTAAGATGCTGAACTACTGGGGTCTCACGTGTGCAGGGGGGCTCAGAGTTTGCAGAGTGGGACATGGTTGAACTTGAAGCCTTAATTTGTTTGGGAGATGCACAAAGCGGGAGCTTCGAACAAGCAGGTTAGCGAGGAACACGTGGAATTCTTGTAAAGGGCGATGGGAGTCAGGAGGAGGGACTGCATAGGAAGCACATCTTCAGGTCCGAGAGAAACATTTTAACTTTTTGGGTAAAACGCACAGTGAAGGCTTCCTTCTTCCTGGGGTATTAAGGATTTAAAACGTAATTATAATTTACTTGGTGACAGAGAGGGGGAGTTTCATCCCACAAGACTTGTATCCTGCCTCTCCTATGGATGCAAAATAATTTTTTAAGCTGCGAATCCATGTGAGCACCTGCTACAAAATTTACTCCGTCAAGACTGCAGCCTGGGGAGGCTGCTGTGATAACAAGGATGAGGATCTGCCCGTGGCACCTTTGTGTTTGCAGCGCTGCTGCTGTGTACCTCCTTCAGTGCATCAGACTGAGGGCAATGAAATGAGCTCATCAGGGGTGCCAGACTACATTGTGTGAAAAGTGATGGTATTTAAAAAAAAAAAAACAAAAAAAAAACACATTATTCTGGTTTATGTCTCCTCTTACTCTTTCTGCTTGCTCTTGCTGCAGAACCAGGTGACCGACACCAACCGAAAGCTGCAGAACGAAGGGAAAGAAGTAAGTGCTGCCTCCGTCCTGCCCTCTCTCCCTTTGCTCCTTTTCCTGCTTTGGGAAGAGGTAGCAAAACTTCCGCTGTGTTCCCCTGGGTGGCAGGTTAACCTCCAAAAGCAGAAGTCTGGGATTCTCAGAAGGGCTTTACAAACTCAGGCTGGTAACAGGGTAAAACACGTGGAGGTAACGCGGCCGTCGAAAGGACGCGGCTCTGAGCAACTCCTTTCAAACAATGAAACCCAAGAATTTTCTTTTGTACGTGATGGCTGATCCTTGCTTGGCCCTTATCCAGATGTGCAGGCTTTTCTGCTCAAGACTGAGGGGGTTTAAAAATCCCTGTTTATGATGGTAAGAATTCCTCTGGGAATGAGCGGCCACATCCTGTCTTTTGGAAGAACTAGAAAAGAGAAGCTGAGTAGGGGAGTAGGAAAAAAAAGAGATGAATAAGATGGGAAGGGGAATGCATGTTTGCTGCATGTTTACTATTGTCCCTGTGTTTTTTTTCTCTCCCAAGTTGATAATAGCGATGGAGGAGCTGAAGCAGTGCCGCCTGCAGCAGAGAAATATCTCGGCGACGGTGGATAAGCTGACACTGTGTCTTCCTGGTGAGGAGTCTGGAATTGCTCTTTATTTGTACAGCTGTCTCTCTTAATCCAGATCGCTCTGCTTGCTGCCTCTGTCTCACTGCTTGTATATTTTTCTTGTCTTTCCAGTCCTGGAGATGTACAGCAAGCTGCGCGAGCAAATGAAATCTAAAAGGTAAATCCATGGAGCCTGACGTTCACGCTGGAGGCGTTGAAAAGCCCCTTTTGGTGTTAGTTTAATTAAACAAAGAGATTCCCAAAACTTCAGGCTTGGAAATCAGCCTTCCCGAGTGAAGCTATGTGATATTTTTGGCCGTTGTCCTCACAGCAAGCGGGGCTGCCTCTGGTACGGAGTAGAATTGCGGCTGCAGCAGCTTCCGCGCTCTTTTTGTGTGAAGTTTCTTTAAGATGGATGTTCACTTTTTTCCCTCAAAGGATTGTTGTTGTGATGGGCTTCCCTGGTCTGTGCATAGTGCTCAGTACTGGGCGCTTTACTCACTTTCACCCTGGGAATGTCCCAGTGCAAAACCTGCTATTTTCTGGGAGAATCGAAGCCAAAGGCCCACGAAATGTTGTGTGGGGTGGTAGGAGAAGCTGCTAAGGTAGGTAGGAGGATTAGTTGTTGCTCAGAAGTGAGCTGAGCTACAGGACTTGTCTCGGGAATTGCATGGTTGGATGTGACGCCAGTTTCAGCTGCCGCCCGTCACACGGTGCAGCACCTGCCGTGCTGCAAACGGGGCCAGAGCGGGTTGGAACGGAGCATTGGAACCTTCCTTGCTGCCTCCGCTGCCCTTCGCAGCCCTTGGGAGGGGAGGAGGGCTCCTCCTGCAGGACGGCTTGGGCTCTTGCTCCATGTGGGATGGGCAGCTGGAGCGCAGTGCGGGGCTCCGGCCTCGCGAGGGAATTCTCCTTCTGGAGAAGATTTCCAGGGTCTGTTCTGGCAATTGCATCTTCCTCGCACTCCCCAGATTGGTTCATTTTGAAACAAATGGAAGCTGAAAGCTGCGCGTCCAAAGAATCTGAACCAGGAGCAGGGAGGACCATGTCAGAGAGGTCCCTGCGTCTCCAAAGCAGCTGAACTTTCCTCATCCCCACACGTTTTCAGCCTTGCTTTTGGGCAGGGAACAAGGGCTGTCTCTGCAGGCTACATTTTAGCTTCTGAGTTGCGGCTCTTCAACAAACAACGTTCTAAAACACAACAAAACCCCCAAGTGTGTTTATTTCCCCGGTTTAATTTCTGGCTTTCTGCATGCTCTTTAAGTTTCTCTCTAGAGGAGATTGCATTTTATTGCAAATAACTTTTCTGTACCTCGCCACCGGTGTAAACAGTGCCCGGGTTGCAGGATTAAGCCGTTGGACATTCCGTGTTCCTAACAGGCCGGGCATCTTCTGCTTAAAACAACTTTCCCCTGGACCTGGTGGGAATTTAGGCAAGAACGGCCCTGCATTGGGATTCGGATGCTGGGCTTTTCCAGGGTTATGTTTCTTATGACACCAAACTTATTCTCCACCTCTGCCGGCTTCAGGGTGTCGCTGGCAGGTGACTGCAGCCAAGATGATCTGTGTTTGGTTCCTTCCCTCTGGCGTTGCTTTGAAGAAGGCCATACCCTTTCCTGATGGAGTCGTCTGAGCTAAATTGGCCTTATTTTGTCCTAGAGGAGCCTGTGACCTAGTGTTTGCCGTAAACATATTCCTATAGACCCCACTGATGCTTCCTCGGAGGTTGCCCTCCCTTGGGCAAGGCTTCCTCAGCTGCCTCCCATTTTGTTTGCCCTTTCCCAACAACCTTGCTCCCTGACTGGGATAACATCAGCAAACTTGCATCAAGTGCATCTGAGTCCAGTGGCTCACGTACCTTGTACCTGCATTCCTTGCTGCAGAGCTGAAACCCTGGGGTGTATTGAATTATTTGCTCTTAACATGTGCTTTGGAGGGGAGGTGACAGGGAAAAAGTTGTTGGTTGCTCTTCGCAGGCACTACCCTGCACTGAAGACCCTGGAGCACCTGGAGCACACGTACCTGCCCCGTGTGAGCCACTACCGCTTCTGCAAGGTCATGCTGGACAACATCCCCAAGCTGCGCGAGGAGATCAAGGAGGTCTCCATGTCGGACCTCAAGGATTTCCTGGAGAGCATCCGTAAGCACTCTGACAAGATTGGAGAGACGGCCATGAAACAGGTAGGGACTTGGGCAGCTGGGTAGGGCTTCTTTTCCATATTTACGTGTAATACCATGGGAAAGCAATAATATATTTTTGCGCTTCTCTTCCCCCACCTCTACTTTGCTGCGGATCCCTGGTTCCCTGACTGGGTCTGTGTGTCTGGGTCGTGTTTTTCACCTATTTGTGCTCCTGTGCCCGGTGAACCCTGGCAGACCCAGCCACACAAGTCCTGATGTCTCAGATTCAGAGCAATGCAATAGAAATACATGTATTAACCATATTTTCTTTTGTCTTGAACTAATTTTTAAATACTATGTGTGCTTTTATTGTCACTTGTTTATGATTGCCTGACAGTTCATTTCTATAAAAGATGAACCTGGTTAATTGGACATAGCCGTGCACATATTAAAGTGGAATTGCTTTCTTCTCCTCTTCTTTAATATTCTAGTCTTGAATTCCAAAACAAGTTTCCGTATCGCAGCTGGAGAGTGTTGCTCGTGCTGGCTGTCAGGAGAGCTTTGCTGCTCTGATGAAATTCAGATTTGCTGGTCGTGAAATGTTGCATCTCTTGAGCAGTAAAGTGCTCCCTTCGGTACTGATCGACTGATGAGACTTGTTGATTAATGGGAAGGACTTTGGCCATAAGCTTTCACAAAGTGTAAAATCATGCCGTTATATATGAGGTTAGAGGCAAAGGCAAGTTCACTTTCCCTGATTATAGGGAATCCTTTCTATAAAACGTGCTGTCTTGAGGATTTCTATTAATTGATTTAATTTATGGTGTATCTGCTGCTTTGTTGTCTTCTCAAACTCCTCGTATTTCAGGAAAACAAACCGACCCCTTACGTTGTTTAAGGGAGCCTTGAACAGGTGCCACGCTGTGACTTGACAAAGATGCCTGCTCGGCCCTAGCAGTCGTTATGTTAAATCAAGTTAATCTCTCTGAACCCGCAGAAAACAGGGCTGTGATCTTGGCATCCTGATGGGGATGTCACAGTGTCCCTTTCGGTACCATCTGGCGAAGTTCTTCCTCCTTGTGCTTTGTCTATGTGTTTCCAGCGGTGGTGAGTCATAGAATAATCGAACTATCTGAATTTACTTGAGTAGAAATATCTGAACGTGCACCTAGGAGCATCGTGTGCCAAGTGTGGAGGGACCCTGGGAAGTGGGAGAGCACAAACGTGCAGATCCAGCCACGCTTCCATGCCTTCTTAGGGAGACCAGTGCTGAGAAAGTGCCCCCACCTGTCTCCTCTGGTAGATATTTCCACACTTCCTTTGCTGCCTTTTGATCCATAAATTTCTCCTTCTCCAATGCAGCCCGGTTTTCCCCATCCAGCAAAGCCAGGATAGCGGCACTTGCTGCTACTGGGATCTTCTCTGCCATGAGCTCCGTCCTGGTGTTTCTCTCACCATTTCTCACCCTTCTTCCTCCAGCTTGCAATGTGCATCTTCAGGAGAGGCCTTGGAGGGTTTGGTGGGGACTCACTGCGCCTCCTCTATTCCAATATTTCACCAGGTGATGGACCTGGGAAGCTGCTTGTTAAAGGACAGTAGATGCAAAATTTCCCATGGTTTCTAGGACAGACTGGACAAGGACTTGCAAGAGGTTAATGGCCCAGGAAGTGTCTTCTCCCAGCTCCTCACTGTTGTCACACCAAGCTTGGGCAAATACTGTATTTTCCTGCCCCGTTCTTGTCCATCCTTCATGGGGTTTGTCTTTGGTTTTGCAGTAGCTGTTGGTGTGAGCCAGCAGGCTTCTCAGGAAACCTCCAGAGTGAGTTTTCCTGTCTCCTTACTCTTCTCTAACACCTCTTTTACCCACAATCTTTCCCTCACTCTTTTGGGATATTAGATGCTTTTTCAACTCTGTCCCTCACTACTGATTTCAACTACTAATATTTTGGGCTTCCCTTAAATTCATTATTTGTTCATCAACTTTTGATACCATTTCAACTCCTGCTGTGACTACTTGAACCTAACCTTAGCTGGACTCTTTTCTCCTTTTATCCACCCCAGTGACTGCCTCATGCTATTTCAGAAATTCTTGGTCTTTGGCCACCTTCTGCTCCTTTACAGCTATTTTGGAGTTTAAACATAGAAGTTGGGTTGTCTCTGGATTGTGCTGATTTTATTTTTTTTCTGGCTTGATGCTGTTGCCAACAGGTCTGTTCAGGGTACAGAGCTGGAGTATCTGAATGTCTTCAGAAAATGTGTAAGTGGAAAGATTTTTATTTCTTGTCTTCCATGTAGATGCTAATAAAATACAGCCTGTATCGGGCTGTTGCAAAGGAGCATCCAAAGCAGGCTTGCAAAGAAGCCAACATCCAGGTGCTTTTAGTGCAACTCCCTGTATCGCCTGTTGGCAAACAGCTTCAGAGCCCCAGTTTTGTGCTGCTTTGAAGCAAGATGCAGACTATAAAGGGGGGGTTTTCTTCATCACGGGGGAGAATGCCGGCATTTTGGGGGTGGAAATTGCCTGGTTTTTGATGGCCAACACGTCCTGTTGCTGCACAGCCACTTGAGGAGCGGGGTCCAAGTGCCAACGTGGAGTCGTACGATGCTGCAACTTGGACCCGTGTGCTGGGCTACATCCCGCAAAAAATGTCCTGGGGTGCTTGGGCAGCAAGGAGGGAGTAAGACCTAAACCCCTAAAACATCCCGAAACCCCTAAAACATCCCACTGGTGGCTGAGAGACATGCGCGGGAAGTGAGTGCCGTTGGCAGGAGGCCTGGGAGACTCGGGGAGCGGCGATTGGCAGCTCAATGCATTCGGTTTAAATTAGCATCATATAAATTCTTTCAAAATTGTTTGATTTCACCAGCGGGAGCGGAGCAGGGGGTTGATACAATGGGGAAAGGAAATCGTGTTTTTGTAACATTACAAATCTGAGGCGGATGATGACAAGAGCTGAAAATTTCATTTTGTGATAATCGGAAAGATGTGTCCCGGCGTGCTCGGAGCTGGGCTGCGTTCCTGGCCGGCCGACAGCGCCTCGGCCCCTCTCCTGGCCAGGAAACGTGGCGGGGGGACGGCAAGTGACACCTGGGGTCACCGCGGAGCCACTGGAAGCATCTCTGAGCACCACGAAACCTCGTAGCTTCACTATACAAACAATGAGATCTCATTGATTCCTTGCCTTCACTTTTCTTTTTTAATAATAAAAAAAAATTGGTGTTTTATTACCTATGGTTCTAGGGGACTCTGCTGCTTTCCAGATATTGTCGCTAATTATCCAGCTTGGAAGGATGAAAGTAGCTCAGTGCATTTGAACCGGCTGTGGACTTGGGCCCTGCAAGCCTGTGTGTGTGCGTTTTGTTTTTTGTGCTTTAGGATCCGAGCCCCGGCCTCGCCAGGAATGAATTACACGTCATTAACAGGCGCTGATATCCGGGCTGTGGTTTTATTATCTCGCTCAGCGGCCAGGGAATGCGCAGCATGCGCGAGAGGTCACCGCGCACGGAGCCGCCGACGCCTCCACGCAGGGGGCCAAGAACAACCCATCCAAGAGCCATTATCAGATCAGGTTTGGCAGGACGGCCAAGATGTTCCACGTGCCTCGCTGAGAGGGAGGCAGAGCAGCTTGGATTTATTTTAAGAGCCTTGGTAGGATGCACTCTCCAAGCTGATGCGCGGCGCAGCAGTGCCAACCTCCTGGTGCACGTTGGGGTGCTCGGTGTCCCAGCTGCGGGGTTCCTGTTTGTCAGGTTGCCCTTCCAAGCGGAGGTTCCCTTTTCCTGGGGCTGGATGTTGTTGTCCATGTGCTCTCTGAGCAGCAGAGAGTGAGGTCTGTGTAGGTGAGTGCTCCTGCAGCGTGGCACAAGGTTTCACACCGAGGTGTGTGCAAACCCTTCCCAAAGCCAGGCAAAATCATTGCATGGTGACGCAGTTTAGTCCAAAACTCAGTGGCGTTTT